ACTCAGCAGCGATAAACAAAGCGTGACTTCACACGTGTGACGCCAAGCCTACCACGACAGCCGGAAAATCACGACGACGTCGAAAACGACCGTGAAAATCACTGGCTCTGGTTCAAAATACTCTCGGAACTTTTTTAAAAAAATAATATTTTAAAATTCAGCTTCATCTTCACAGAGAGGTAACAAGAAACAGGACGAGAGCACCGAAGACATGGAGGCCCTTCGGTTTAACATTTGAATCTGAAATTGTCTACTTGAGCGATGGATGTAAGGTGGATACACATGAAACGATTTTACAGCCATCGCCAACAATCATCTCAAAGGAAAATGCATAATGATCTTAAATCCTATCATCTATCCTCAGCAGAAAATTCTTAGTTAATTAAGTAAACGCAAAAGACAGATGCTAACTACTGATCTACAGAGGAGAAAGAGTGAAAAACGTCTGCATAAACTCTCCCAGCCTCGAAGTTGAACTCTGAAGCGAACGTGCTCTGCTCTGTAAACCTGCACTGAGCAACACTACCTCGCCACTGACTTGACAGAAGTTTGAAAAAGAACCTGAATTTCTACATTTTGACACTGCTCCAACAGTAAAAATATAGCATTGGCAACCAACAGAAGCTGAACAACCGTCTGCATTGTGGGCCGGTAGGATATGCCGCAGAGGGATCTCTCCGGTTGAGTGAGACGGTGAGGCTGGACACAGGCCAGTGAACGCTACCACGACCCTAACGCTAATGTTTCGGATCTCGATGGACTGGTTGAAGGATGTGGAGGACGAAAGTTGGCACTCTGAATGAACAGCTTACCAAACTCGCCAAAATACATTATACATGGAAGAATACTAGGCCCATAATGCAGGCTACCGCGTCAGCTTGCCGAAAAATTGCTTGGATTTATTGTAACCAGGTGAAGGTTAGGACGCGACTAGCAAATAGCAAAAGAGTATAATCAAGAACTTGGAGGCCCCAACACCAGAACTCTATCACAAGATGAGATGCGCTCGTGGGGGGGTCACCTCCTCACGAGGCAAAGGAGATAGTAGCAGATGTTCCCCTACGTGTTTGCGCGCGCAAAATCTACAGATCCGTCGAACTTACCACACAGTGGAATAACCATGATCAAGTGTTCTTTGGGAAAGCTGACAAAGCTCTACCTCAGACAGCTAGTATAAGATTCATCGTAAGAAAGAGGGCTGCACCGCTCGCAGTCAACTATGACTGTGTCACTTCGTGTCGACGTATAAATTCTGCGGGTGGAAAAAGAGCACTGAAGATGAAAGAAGTTTACATCCATACACAACAAGCGGAAGATGAAGAAGTGGAGCAGTTTGAGGGGGAACTGGAAAGCGCACTGCAATCGCTGTACAGACGTAAGACGTACATACTTCAACGTACACAATCGCCCAAGGAAATTTCAACATCGTAATAGGAAGGGAAACAATCAAGAAAGTTCCTTCGGCCGGTTCAACCGTGGAGGGCAAAACTAACTCGGCTACCGCCTGACACCACTGCCGAAAGCAATCGCCTCCATATTCTGAATATCATGCCTGGAAAAGTCGAGATACGGCCGTGAACGCGGAGGAGCCCTAATGCAACGGTCGACTACATGCTGACGCACACAAAGGGGGTAATAACAGATGTCTGTGTCACTGCAGAAAGCATCGTCTGCACGGGGGGGGCAACAGATTACGCCGTGCTACAGTTACAATCGATAACTTTAGAGAAGATTAGGCTGGAAAGCTCAAAGACGAACGGCCACTGGACGAATATTCGCAGACAACGATCCTCAACTTATCCTCGCCACAGAGGTATCGGCGCAAACTGCCAGCATCTCATAGATTCCGTCGAAATTACCACCTGGTCATATAGCCATGCAACAGTGTCAGCGAAGAAGTAATGCCCAGACTCTGAAACCAGCTAGCAGCTGTTGGTCAAAAGTGCCGGAATGATGACAAACTTAACGAGAGTACGCTGTTATGCAAAGGAATAGAGAAAAAGATTTGGGACCACTGTGACAAGTAGAAGAGAACGAAAAGAAGAGAGGTCGCATTAAAGAAAGAATATGCTGAGGTACACGGGAAAGGGTATCCTTTGAAAAAAGCCGATTCTTGACACACTAATGGAGGAAAAAGGAAGAAGAACCCCAGATCTGCCCCATGAAAGCGATCTGCATGAGGTTCCACAACCTTCGCGACTTCTCGATGGCAAATACAAACCTGAAGCTGCCCAAGTTGCCCTGCATACCGTTCCCGAAGTCCTCCGAGACGAATTAGAATGAGCATTCAAGAATATCAAGAGTGGCAGACGTACTGGCAGAGACAATGTTCCATGTGTGATAGCCTGATGTCAGACACGACTCTTGGACGAACCGCTTGCCGCCTACAACTCAAAGAATCGATGGGCTAGCCATATGACAAGTGTAAATGCAACAGGTGCACAAGGCGAGTTACCAATTGGCTCGGCTCGAGTTACCGAGTTACCCCCTCGGCTCAGCAACAAGCGTTCACTCGAGGGGACATTTAATGGGACGGCAGTGATGAGGCAAAGGCACAACACCGAGAGGAGTGGCGGAACATCCACTTGCGTCTGTGGTGCATCACTTATAAAAAACAAGTCAGAAGAACTGACTGAATATTTTAAACAAGTTCTGAAGGGAAGAGAATGTCTTTCACAAAATAAACCTGCGCATGTATTCTGAATACACTTTTCAGTTTGAATGACAGTATTTTTTTACGATTTGTTTAGATCAGCCATATCAAGCATCATCTGAATCTTTTTTTCTTCATATGCATAAGTGGGTATTCTGTTTTTAAAGAAAAGTGAGATTGGATGAATGGAGCATAGAAAGAACAGTCTAATGAAACCCTTGTGGTTCGTACATAGCAGGTAAGCAAGTCCCCATGTAATCCTATCGACCACCCTGCTATTGGCAATTATCCGCTATCTGGGATTTCGTTTCTAATGGTCAGACATCGTAAATCTGGAATACTCTGCCAGTGATTGATGACGATGACAAAACAACAGCAATCCGTTATTAAGACAGAAAGTTTGAGAAAAAATATTTCCACAGATTCAAAATGCAACCATAGATGTCAATACGGCATTGATCATAGAAGGCGGAATAGAACTGCATAAAAACACGGTTTATTCATAAACAACGCAAACAATTTGGTCAATCGGGTTATTAACCGGTACCGACGTTTCTCTTGGCCTTGTTCTAGGAGAACAGAGTTGAATTCCTAAGTTCGTTCTGTAGTCTTCAGCTGTTATATGGAGACTTTGTTTGGAGCCAAAAGGTGGGCGTTTGATCTATGTCGCAGTTAAGTATACTGTCGGCAACAGGCGCGATAAGGTTTATCCAATCCATGCAAAGTTCGTACCATACTGTCGAAGACTGGATAATTAATAATGTCTCCTTGACAAGCCCTTAGGTTACCGTTGCCGAAAAACTACTTTATCAACATCATCGACCGGAAATTCACTTTTTGGCTCCAAACTTTACAACAGCTCTCTTACAACAACGTAAGACACGGGTCGAGACGTCAGTATTGGTTAGTTGTCCGATTGACCAAGTTGTTTGGGCCGTAGAAGAATAAACCATGTTTATTTATTAACCGTGTTTGTTACAATCTTCAGTATGAGCACCAACGCACAAACGAAATGCTCAGTCTTCAGACACGACGGCGAAATAGTAGTGCTCATACTGGAAAGGACTGTAGGACTCTAAATATTGAATTTTTAGGCATAATTAATAGGTCAGCGTAAAATTTCTTTAAGCTATCGATCAGGGCAAGTCCAGCGAACGCAAAAACATAGAGGTGTACTCAAAAATAGGATTATTCACTAATTATTCCTGAGTATGCTAGGAAATCTGCGTCAACTCTGTAAGAGTAAATTCTAAGGAAACGCACAAACCTATGGACCCTACGGTTCATCAGCTGAACAGACTCTCGATGTGAGTAACGGTTTGACTGTGCATACTATGACAGTTCACAATTTGGTTTTTGTGCCAAACAGGTTTTTCAGTGAAACACTTTGATTTCCAATCTTACGTATCCCCATAAACATCGTCTTAGAAGACTTCGGCCCAAAAGACCATTCGAATATCATCGGAAATGATGCAACATAAACTGGAGCATAAGAAACCTTCTGATCTAAATGTGGTCTGCCGATACGATGTTATGGATGAATCGACAAATTCTTCATTATAAGAATCGACGTTTCACACAAAATAACTTTGCCCATTATCAGGGAACAAAAATTAATAGGATTTGCCCTGACGATGCACACGTGATTTTGCTGGTGCCCGTAACTCTTATCAATTCTTTGCACAAACGACCATCGTATGCAAAGTTGCAATCGGTTCATATCGGTTGACGAATAAAAACTGACTTGTGATTCAGTCCAAGCCGAGTTAATACCACGGTTTTACTGGATTATTAATTAATAAGTATTAACATTGCAGTCTGCACCTTTGAATTCATGTGGCGACTTTGATGTAGGCTGACGTTTTGACAGTAATGCGGACTAAAAATGTGTAAGTTTCAGTCCGTGCCGGTATAGAAGGATTATCACTCTGAATGATATCACCAACAATGAATCGATATGAAGTTCAGAAGTAAAATTAGAGCATGTAAAATGTTACAACGCACTGTAGCAGGTGAATTTTTTACCGTTCGTGTGTCGAGTCAGTCAGTGATTGGTGGGAATGCTTGTGAAAATGTTCCTGGACGACAAGTGACCACCAGCTTTGGGGCTGGTTTTAATTCCGATCGGCAAATAAACACACGTGACGGTGGCGGTAAAGACGAAGAAGCCCTAGGAAAAACAACGGCTTTCTCAGAGAAGTGGTTCGATAATCAACGGACAGAAGACGGACGACGGAAGGGAGGCCAGAGTCGTCGAAAACTTCTAGGCGAATGATGCCACGGGGTTCGATTCGGTTCGGCAGAGCGAGAAAAACAAGTTTCAACAGCGCGGTACGAAAAGTGACTCTCATCGACGTGTCAGGAAGAACACGTCGCCGGAAGGAGGGAAAGAAACGTTGCTACCGTGCACTTTGCTGCTCGATGCATCGCTGATCGAATTGACGCCGTCGAAAGTTTTAAAACCACCCTGCGAATCAGTTTTAAAGTTTTATTAAAATTACGGTACTTGTACAAGTTGAGAGTAGGCAGTCGCGCGACATGGATAAATTAGTCAGGGAACCTCCTAATCATATTTCAATTCGGCAAGAAAAAATATGCGGATGATAGGACACTTTATTGACTAAGGCATCTGCCCATTTTTCCACGTCAAGCAGGGGATAATGATAATTGGTGGGGGAACCTTACCTTTTGCTGCGTACGAATCTGGAGCTGACATGAGGAACAAGGCTTGCCGCCTTTGACAGCGACTTCAGGCATTTGCAACGGAGACGACATTGACAAATGCGACTGAAAATGCGACAAATTTACTTTGCACAATTCCTCTGCAAGTCCCTGCGCCTCTGTCCAACATATCGGCCTCGACGCGGTTGCTGCCTGACCTTCGAATCGATTTGCTTAACTTCGTGCTTCTGAACAGAAAGACGGAAAGAACGAAAGGTGCAGAACCAGCCATCTGTCTATCTGCGACCCGTCGTCTGGTTTCAAATAAACTTAGACCAGATGCCAGTGGCTAAGAGGCAAAGAGGATTCAATAAGTGCGGCTCCGAAGCAACACGTGCATGAAGAAGCAAGACAACGCGTTCTTCGAGTCTTTTAAGAATGAGTTAGTCAAAGTAAGGGCGGTGACAGTCAAATCGTACATTCAAACGAACGAATCTCCTTCTTTAAAGCAGCTTCATCAACGATTCAGTATTCTCAATAGCACAAAAAAGAAACACGGTATGGTAAAACAGAAACAATCGTCCTAATGAAAGTGCAGGAAAGACGGTTAGTTTAAACGCGTAATAATGGTTAAATGGCAGGATCACGTACAGCATGATTTATCTTTTTCCGAACAGGGCTTATCTCTAAAGTTGAGGGTAGCCTCGCTAGACAAATTGACTTAATGTGAACCTTATACTCTCCTCCTCTCCACCCCCGTAGTTTGTCGTGTGGAACCCGAAGTATGACAGACAAGGTAGAGGCAGATTAGTACTTGAAAAGGACTCGTCACTTCTGAGGTGCAGCAACCGATGTCTTATGGCTGAAAAGCTGCAAATACTGTAGACACCACAAACCACTTATCAACGGACGTTCTGCTTTATGTATATCGGTCAACGTAGATGCAAAAGTGTCCATGTATATGTAATGCTCTCAACAAAAGTACACATCGCAAATGTAAAAATCTTTGCCAATTTTTAAACCAATTTGTGCTCATTACCTTCAGTAGAAACCGCGTCGCCTCGACTTGACCGAATGCGACCGCCTCATGAAGTGCCGTGCTACCCATGTATCGGCCGTCCAAATCGAAGCCGGCGTCCAGCAAGGCTCTAAACGATGTTTAACATAATGAACACTAAGAAAAGAGACGACCAATTTTTCCTTAAGGTCTTACCTCAGTACGTCCACGTGACCGTTCCTCGCCGCAAGATGCAACGCCCTTACGGAATTCTCTTTCGTCGAGCGCAGGACACGGCGACATATGCCACCGCCGATCAGCTGTTTCGCCGCTCTCGTACGGCCGAACTCGCAGGCGAGGTCGAATGCAGTCTTGCTATCTTTGTTCACAATCAAAGGGTCGGCTCGGTAGTATAACAGAAGGCTGATCTGTAGGAAAGACAACAGGTGCTGTGGAGATCCGACAAACGACAAAACAACTGCCTGTCGGTCGAGCTTACCGTGTCATTGTCCCCGTGTTGACAGGCGATGTGCAGGGCTGTGTATCCGTCGTTGTTTTGGGTGTCCACGCGGGCTCCGTACTGAAGAAGCAATCGACACACTTCCGGACTGTTTTTGAGAGCGGCATAATGCAGCGCTGTCATTCCTGCAAAAGCTGAGTTGGGGAGAATTCGTTCATTTGAGAGAGAGAAAGAGAAAAACACGACTGTGAGACTCCTAGACACTTTTCCCTCACCACAACTAGCTACAGCACTGAAAAACGCGAAATTGTCTCTGCATCTTCAACAAGAGCAAACATTTCAAGGCAAACACTTAAGCAATATGTCGAAATCTGCCTCGGAATTTATTCAGACAATAGTGGTCTCATCTTTGAAATATTATGTAAAAAGGGCCAAAGACTTTTAGCGATAAAATTCCAAAACGTTGCCAAAAGTCCCGTGCCAATTCCGTAGTTTCCAAAAGAAACTAACTCTTGTACAGCTACACTTGATTACCTTGATCATTGGATACTACGCCAAATTACATCACCAAACTTCCATTATTGGGAAATAAGAATTGTAATTTTTCTGGTTTTAGGGTCTGAAATACGGATTTTGTTGAAAGACACATAAACGTCTAGTAAATATAAATCAAACAAATTTCACTGGCAAAGCTGCAATGAGTCAGCAAGCTAACTACCCTCAAATATTAAGTTATGCAGTGACGTTCTTGAACTTATGGATCACCTGTCTGAAAAAAATGCCTACGTGAAAAGCCTTAGAGCAGCTGGTAGACAATAAGTCCAGACTTTAGATTCATCATTAATACGCAACGACCTCATGGCTGATTGTAGAAGATCGAGCTACAATAGCTGCTCATGTAATCATCAAGCACTCACGGCCAGTTCCACCATGTACTGCGTGGTTGAGTTGGTAACAGATGGAATTCCACAGATTTTCAGGTGTTATATATGTTATTTGGATCAAATTTACATTACTACTAGCACATTCGAAGATAGGCTGGCCACGTGGCTCGCTTCAGGGACAACTTGTGAACGTGAAACATTTAAACTGGACTCCGATGAACCAGAAATATCCCCTAGGACGTCTAAGAGTATACTAGAGAGATTCAATGGTCAAATTGCTTGGTCAACGTTAAAGGCAGAGCACACTGTGGATTCGGGGAGAGCAAATATCTACTATGTAAAAATGATCTAGTAAATAAAATTTGAAAATATGCGTAAGTAAACAAACATCACTGATGATAAGCATGGTCGTGCTCTAGCCAATATGACAGCACAATACGCCTCCGTGTATTGCGAGTGTTTGAATAACGTGAATCGTGAATTGCACAAGTACCCCTCTAAGTGCATTGCAGAAAAACAACAACGCCATCAACCGCGAAGCCAGGATTGGAGGAGTTAGAGGAGTTAAGCGATTTTGAGTAAGAGTCTTAAAATATGGCTCTGGTATCATCGAAAGAAACGTAAGCAAGAGAGAACCATGCTAATATATAGAATGTAAATGCCACTTGCAGCACGACTGGATCGAAAGAAAACCCACTAACACAAAATGAAAAGAGACAAGAACAGAAAATCCATTCTGTGAATTTCTACACCACGACGCAAAACCGTGATGCTGTCAAGAAACTCACTCATCAAATCTATCTCTCGTTCGTCGCAGAGGAAACACGATCAAAAAGTATGGGCTGAGTACCAATAAGAAGTGTTACTGCCGAATCTATTCCCATCTCTAAACTGAGTAGTAGTTGAATTCCAGAATAAACTTCATTTAAAGTAATGTGACGCAAGAGGAGGATCCTGTTCTCACAAAAACGTGTGGTAGCTGACCCATTTATCTATTCTGAAGAAGGCTCGTGAGACATGGATAGAATCGTTGGTGCTGATCAGTCATCAGATTGACCAAATTTGTTTGTATGAATAAACCGTGTTTTCCAGAAACCATAAACAAATGCCCGTCTCTATGCATGATGTTCCAACCATTATGAGCGTTCCGCCATCTGTAATCTAAACAAGCAATGAGTTTAACCCAACTGATCTCACTGAGGGTAAAGGCAATATTGGCAGATTCTGAATGCGCAAATTTTTATCAAAGGTTCAGTAGCGAGCCAGTGATCCCTGTTGCAATAACCCAAGCATTTATGACTGCGATACAGCACTGAGACCCCATTGGTGTGTAAATCTTTCCTAAAATATGAGAATATTATTAGGCCACCTAGCGCGTTATTACATACGTGCACGACATTGTGAAACGGCATGTCCTGCTGTGACAGTATGCCTGACAAACTTTGTCTTTGCAATACACAGTGACGCCATTTAATTGCGTACGAGGTGGCGACATAATCAAGTTCGAAAGAGCTTATGCTGCGGGATCTATCGAATGCTCATAATAACATAAAAGCATAAAAACAATCTGTCAAGTATACAGTGAAATTCAAAAATTCATTTGAAAAAAATTGCGCAAACGAAGAGAGGTGAGTGGCGTAGTGTGCGATGTGCTGTTAAGGGGAATGATGTACAGAATGGTAGTAGTACCGGTATTTTTAGAGGAGGCGGAATGTTTGACTACCCTGAAGAGACATGGACTAGCTGAGCTCGGTAGCAATGAGAATACTCAAACGGATATTTGGTGCCACCAGAAAGAAGCACATCCGAAACAGCTCCATAGGAGGCACTCCTGGGGTAGCACCAATTTCCGAAAAGCTTATCGAAGACATCCTCCATTGGTTCGGTGACGTGAAAAGAAGACCCACTGTGCACGTTGGAAATACGATCAAAGTACCGACACTCTCAGCGAAGAACACAAATGGAAGACTAAAGAAAAATGGCGCGATGCCATCAAGTACGATGATGAGAATACGAGGCGTGACATGATTTGACCAAAGACTGAAAAATGTGGAGGCGGTTTACTCGAACAGCGGACACCTGTAAAACGGAATATGCTACGAAGAAGTATAGTGGTAAAAACAATAAAGTACAGTGGTACACACAGA